AAAAAATTAAAATTAAGATATAAAAAGTTGTAGCTATCCTATAATTGAAATAAATTTACACTAATAATAGTATACTTTTAGAAAATAAGGTAATTCTTATGTATTATGTTGTTATCTTGAAAATGAATTTTTATATTATATAATTTTAAATTAAAATTTAATTTTAATTGTATGTCATAATTTGTATAATTATTATATAATTAAAACGAATTTATCATATTATATTTTTATAAAATAAATAACTTATGCATTATATTGTTATCTTGAAAATAAAATTTTCTATTATAAAATTTAAAATTAAGATATTAAATTATAATCAAATATACATTAAGTAAAAATATTTGTATAAATACAATAATTAAATATAAATTAAGCAAAATAGTTATTGAAATATATTCGTTTAAATATTTCTGATGTTTGAGTTTTGTCATTATAATTATTTGATGTTTTCATTTTTACTTTGGAAAACATAAATAATAACTTATTATGTAGGTTTTTAAATTAATAAAACATCAGGTAATAAATATTCATGAGAAAATTATGCTCGCATGTGCGGGCAAAAACCTAGTACTAATTAAAATAAGTTGAAAAATAGGGTTAAAACTTAAAAGTTATTATAAATATATACTGAAAATGTAAAACGAGTAAAACCAAATTTTACCTCAAAAACTATATATAATTTGAAACAGAAAGAGTATATATGTCAATTATTCGTTGTATCAAGATGCAGAAAGTAACGTGATATTCATTGACTAGAACATGTGTCTCATTAAAAATAAAAAAATAAAAACAACAAAAAAACAAAAACATATGTCGTATCCCATCCCCCTATATATTAAAAGATAAGTCATTTTAATGTTTTTTGCTTACGTGTCATTCATAGGTGCAATGTAGAATTAATTCTCTTAATTTGATTGGTTGTTGGCATTTGAATTTTTATATATTTAATTAAACTTTTTTAAAAGGAAACTAATCAAAGAATTACCTAATCTAATATATATTACCAAACAAATAATTAACCATCTTAAATACATAGGATTAATAGAATTTATTTATAGAAACAATTAAATATCACATATTCCATTATAAAAATTTAGAATATACATATAAATACATATTATTTATAGAAATAAGTATATAAACGATTTTAAATTTTTTTCTATTAATAGTGGATAAAAAATCATACATTACAGAAAACTAATAATATTTTTAAACTCGCTCACTATATATATGTATTCTTAAAATATGTTCAATGAATGCAAAACAGTCAAATGTAAAATATTTTTAACCATCTATCATTTTCTAGAGATAAATGTCGATAGTATAGTTGAGTTATCACTTTCAAAAATTATTTAAATATTTTTATATTTAAAACATAAAATTATATGGTAAGTCATTTTAAAAAATATGAATAAATAAAAATTTTATTATAATATAAAATTACAAAAAAAAATCAAGACATTATATTAGTACAAGATTAGAGTTAATATTCTATTCATATAATTGATATAGCTTTAAGTATAATAAAATTGGCATGTTTATTTTTAATAAGAAAAAAAGAAAAGAGACATAAATAAAAACATGAGTGAATAATAATAAAACCTTTTGTTGTATTCTTCGTTATTTTGTATTTGTACATACATAAATTTTTATTTGTATACCAAAATATTTTTTACGTATTAATATAATTGTAAACTAATTATTTTTAGGTTTTTATACAACATAAGGAAAAATTGAGCAAGGAAGATATATATAAATGATAAGTTATAAAATTTTTAATTTTGAAGATGCAAAATATAACACAAATTAATTTTAAAATAAATTATTTTAAAATAATGATAATTATTTTTGCGGTGTAATAAACTTTAAAAATATATGATAACAAAGTTATAACAAAATATATACAACTAGAAACATGTTATTTTGATATATTAAAACTGTTGAATCTCATGTTTATTTTAATATATGTCTAAAATAATGACATCATATTATTTAAGAATTAAGATATTTTATGTTATATGATTATTTAATCAAATTTACTTTTTTGAAATACAGTTATTTAGATTTACTTGAAATATGTATGTAATGAATTAATTAAAAAAAAAAAAAATATTTATTTTTTCAATGAAAATTTCGGTAAAAGGAATCAATGTTTGATAAGATGGTGTGAAGATTAGAGAGAATTTGATAATGAATTTATTTGGTTAGTCAATTGTGATTTTATATTAAATTCTAAATAAAAAAATATGTAAGGAAGGGAGAAAGAGAGGGAGATATGGTGATGATAAAGATTAGAGAGTCGGTTATGATCATAATGAAGATGAAAAAGAATATAAATGAGAGACTAAATATAAGTGAGATAGATTCTGAAATCATTTATTAATACTATGTCAAAGTGTTTAGAAGATTTAACAAAATCTGGTGAAAATTTTGCAACCAAAAAGAGATAAAAAGAGTTTTAAAATTAAATATTGAGGATCATATTAAGGACGAGGGTAAGAGAATGAATATATGTGATTCTGAGAGAGTGAATGTAAGTTTGAGAGATTTTGAGATTATTTGATCAATTAAGAGAGAGAGAAAAAGAAAAAGAGAGCAAGAGAAGTGTACAAAGACATATAAAAATAATGCAAAGAGAGATACATAAGAAACAAAACGAATGTGTGAAAAAATACAAGGAGAAACGAAATGAGTAAAATAGAATAATATATTAAAAACAGAGTATCTTTGTAAAAGAGAAAGAAAATTACAATATATTTATACATTTATATTATTTTTTATTCCTGCAATGTATAGATTATCTTAATGATTATGAATAATACATATTTTTGTGTCCTCTCTCTTTTTTGTTTAATTTTAAATTATTAAAATAAATTAAACAATCACATTAAATATATAATAAAAATTAAATTTTTTTCTTATAGGTTATATTTTTAATTTTTTAAACCGACCATAAATAACTAAAATACTAAAATCCCACATTGAAAATTTTATGATCAATGGTTTAACTTTGTTTTTTTTTTCAAACAAGATACAAATTATCATAGATCATACGAATATGAAGTATCATTAGTAGATATTCATATTATAAATATGTTAAATCTAAAAATTTCAGTGAAAAGGTTTGAGATTAGTAGATACAAATTATAGTATTCAAAAGATTTTTGTAGTTTGTTTTATTTGCTTTTGTTTAATATCTTTTAGTTTGTTTAGATAATTTAAATAATTTTAAATTAGATTTATTAATAGTTTAAATATTTAGAATTTTTTGTCAACTTTGAATGTTAAAAAAATATTTTTTGGGATGATTTCAGATATTGGTTACAATCCAATCTAATCTGAATTGAGAAATCAAATCGAATCCAATCCGATAATTAGTAAAATTCAAATAGGATTTATGAAAATAATACCAAAATCTGAGAATACGTCTCAATCAAACCAAAACCGCCAAAGTCTCAAACGTCCAGACCTGTGATGATTTAAGATACCAACATTTGTATTCATCTTTTTATAATTGATAAATATTGTAGTATTACAAAATGTTAAAAACTATCTTCTATTCACCATGCGCGCGGGCTATCTTCTAGTATCTCCTTGTTTGTGCTTCCTACCATTGAAGACGAAACAGTCTAAGAACGCAACTACTGGTGCAAATAAAGCCGCACCAACTGTAAACTGTTGTGGACTTTTCCAATAGAAGATGGTTTTTAGCAACAAAAGCAAGTGAAGATTGTTATAGTATAGCCAAAACTTGAGCATGGTGAAATTATAAAGATTTTCTAAAAGTCACAAGTCGTCTCTTGACGTGTAAAAAGGGTCGGTCCACGGAGGAAGACTTGATGAGATTATTCATTCACATATATTGATTTCGGCTTGTCCCATGGGTTTGAATATTCCAACTGTGGAAATAATGTTAAATCATGGTGTACTTGAGTGACTACTTTTAGTATAAGAATTTTCAAGCTTGTGTATCAGACTTAATATAAGAAGATTCAAGATTGATACGAGTCATATATATGGAGGTTAGTAACATCAGCATGCTGTTGCGCCAGCGTGTTACGTGTACCTGTATAATCAAATTATAACTAACATTGTCACTAAAACAAAGAAAGAGGTCGGTTTGTGCACACGTGTACATGTGTTGAATAATACATTGTTTGTGCCAAAGGGAATTTCTTAAATCATATACCAGAAAAGAAAAAGTAATATCGAAATCATTGTTTCAAGAAAGAGAATGTGAGTATGAAAATGTATAGAAGCAAAGGAATACTCACAAAATCGACATGTCTTGCATGGAAGGCAATAGAGCTCTGCATCCCTGGCTGATTCGATCCTGCCTCTTGGGTCTCCAAGTAAAGCCTAAAGCAGATATAAACATCAGATCAAAAGAAAACCATATGCAAAGTTTTAAGCACCATGAGGAAGCGATAAGTAACACAACATCGGTAGTTCTATGAATCAGTTAAAAAGGAATAATGCTCAGACGATCGCAGAACTAATCCTGTAACCGGGTTGCTTTAAGTTGATTAGAATGCTACAACAGGAACACCATATAATTAATAATTAATTATCTATTACAAAACTTCCAAGTAATGGAAGCATAAGTGAACAGTCTCAACTGGGTTCATATATTCTCTGTTCCTTACAAACAGGCTATGTCACACCAAAGTGACTTTTTTATTCAGCGTACAGAGAGATGCGCTATACAAACGAAAAGATTACATATGAGCTGAATAAGACACTAACATTCCAAGAAGATCTGTTCGGAAGAAAACAGGAAATTAAAAATGAAAAAGGAGAAATTCTTTGAACACATACAAGGTGTTCAGATTGAATAGACAACAATATCTAGATATTTACTTTAGACTGTTGGGAAGTCCTTGTCTCTGATCAGCTGGTATCTCTTGAATGGAAGCAGCACTTAATTGTGATATTCATTTGACTAAAACATGCGTTTAAACCCAACTGTACAAAAATTTCAGCTTCAGGTCCCCTATATCTCACTGTTTCTCCTTCCTAAAGAACCAGCCTAAGAACGCACCTACTGGTGCAAATACAGCCGCACCAATTGCTGCACCCATCTTCCCAAACCGGCTCACTTTTTCTTCCTGCTCAATGCAATAATCCATAGGCCAACCACACAAGTCCGTGTTATTAGCAAAACTCTCCACTCCAATTCCCAAGGCTTCGTTGAATTCTGGGACAGGACCGGTCAGTTGATTCTCTGCCACTGAGAACTGTTTGAGCCGCTTAAGCGACGCTATCTCGGGAGGAATCTGACCAGTGAAGTGGTTATGCTGAAGCATAATAGTGTTCAGATAGGTAACATCTGATAAACCTGCTGGTATTTCACCAGAGAATTGATTGTAAGAAAGGTCGAGAGTTGTAACAAATGGAATCAAGGAGGCTATATTAGATGGTAGAGATCCAGAGAAGTTGTTTCCAGAAAGATCTAGACCTGTCAAAGAAGAACATTCCTTTAACCCAAGAGGAAACTCTCCTTGGAGACCAAAACCAGAAAGGTCAATGCTCAAAACCCTATCCACATCCCAGCACTCCACACCAATAAATCCGCATACATAACTTGAAGTCCCGTTGTGAAATACCCAACTTGATAAAGATCCCTTGGGATCTTTAACTTGAGATTTTATGCTCCTCAGGCAATTTACGTTGACCTCGTTTGCGCCTGTGAGGCTAGGCACCACCAGCAAGAACCAGAGACAAGTTGACACTAGGGTTGTTATGGACATTTTGTTGTTGATTGATTTTTGTATTCTTAAAAGAGATCACTAACAACAAGAGATTTGATAATAGAAGCAATGGCAAATAGAAATTATTACGGTACCCAAAACTTGAACTGGGGAATTGTAAAGCGTTTCCCAAGTCATGGTTAAATAGTCAACCGTGGAAAACTATTTAATAATCACTATGTCCATCTATGGTATAGGGGCTGAAAAATGATGGTTTTTAGTACACGTGGTACATGCTTCTCCCCCATGGTCAACAGCACACCCTTTGGCAAAGGGCCTATCAACAAAATCAGGCATATACTGTACTTAGCTCATGCAGAGGACATAAACCTCAAGACTAGACATAGAGGCAATCAAGTTTTGCATTTTATATAACTTCCATGTCTTGATAGTTTCATATTTTTTTTTTCTTCTGATAAAGGGCTTATAATTTCATATTTCTCAACCAAGAAATAATCTATGCGTGATTTAAGTACAACACAGAATTAAATTGCAGATTTTTTTGGCGGTTACTACAATTCTATTTCCTGTATGGGGGTAAAAAAGGTGTTCAAGTTAAGATCACACCATGTTACAAATCATTGTTTTATCAAGTATATGTAGGCGTAGATACTGGTGCATATCGTTTGTACAAACATGTGTTTCAATCCCAAATGTACAAAAACACAGCTTCGGTGTCTTATATTTCTTTGTTTCTCCTTCCCACCCTTGAAGAACCAGTCTAAGAACACACTTACTGGTGCAAATACATATGTCTTATATCTCCTTGTTTCTGCTTCTTGGAGATCTCCAACAGGAGTCCTTAGAGATGAGTCATTACAAAAAAAATAATTAAATAATCAATAGATTCCACAAAAAATTAAAAATTTGATCTTTAAATTTTTTAAATAATGACTGTTTTTAGTGAATCTTTACACTATTTACGGGTATCCACAATACATGGTAAACCGTAATTGATTGATATTTTTTTTCTTTAAATCTGAAAAAAATGATAATTAAAAAAATTAAAAAATAGTTTTTTAAAGACTCTAATGGGTAACACTACCGTTGGAGATGTTCTTACCATTGAAGACGAAACAGTCTAAGAACGCAACTACTGGTGCAAATAAAGCCGCACCAACTGTTGTGGACTTTTTCAATGGAAGATGGTTTTTAGCAACAAAAGCATGGTGAATTATAAAGATTTTCTAAAAGTCACAAGTCGTCTCTTGGCGTGTAAAATTAAAGGTTTCCACGAGGAGACTTGATGAGATTATTCATTCACAGACATTGATTTCGGCTTATCCCCATGGGTTTGAATATTCTAACTGTGGAAATAATGTTAAATCAGGGTGTACTTGAGTGACGACTTTTAGTATAAGAATTTTCAAGCTTGTGTATCAGACTTAATATAAGAATATTCAAGATTGATACCAGTCATAGAGGCTAGTATACTATTATTTGAGAATTGTTTTTGCTGATTTATCATGTTTTCCTTGATTTTAGATTTTTCATGATTTTATTTATTTTGCTTATTTTTCATATTTATCATAGTATTTTCAGTAATAATATCTATCTATCATGTTTTTAATTATTTAGTTGGTAATTTTATTTAAATATTCTATTTTTAAATATTTTTAATTGTATATTGCAAATCATCTATACTATTATTTAAGAAGTAATTTTGCTTAGTTGTCATGTTCTCCATAGATTTAGGTAATTTTATTTATTTATCATATTTTAATATTTATAAATAAAAACGAATTATATGAATATATCATATTTTTAGAAAATAAGATAATTCTTGTGAATTATGTTGTTATCTTGAAATATATTTTATATATATAACTTAAATTTTAAATTAAGATATAAAAATTATTATATTTTCATACTATTATTTAAGAAGTAAATTTGTTTATTAACATGTTCTCCTTAGATTTAGGTAATTTTGTTTATTTATCATATTTTTAATAGTTATATTATTTATAAATAAAACGAATTTATATGAATATATCATATTTTTAGAAAATAAGATAATTCTTGTGAATTATGTTGTTATCTTGAAATATATTTTATATATAAAACTTAAATTTTAATTAAGATATAAAAATTATTACATTTATTATATAACTAAAACGAATTTATATAAATAATTTTATAATTTTATAAAATAAGATAATTCTTATATATTATGTTGTTATGTTGAAAATATATTTTCAGATTATAAAACTTAAAATTATATTATTAATAATTAATATAAATCACCTAAACAATTATTTGAAAAGTGAATTTGTTGATTTATCTTCATGATTCTAGGTAATTTTGATCATTTATCAGAATTTCTCTTATTTTGTTTATTTTTGATTATATAACTAAAACTAATTTCTACTAATAATATGATATTTTAGAAAATAAATTAACTCTTATGTTTTATGATGTTATATTGTTATCTTAAAAATATGTTTTCCTATTATAAATTTTAAAATTAAGATATAAAATGTTATAATTAAATATAGAAAAGTAAAATATTTGTATAAATATTATAATTAAATATAGATCAAGCAAAATAACTATAGATTTTTATTCTTTTAAATATTTCTGATGTTTGAGTTTTGTCATTGATAATTATTTGATGTTTGATTTGTATTTTTTGAAAACATAAATAATAACTTATTATGCTGGTTTTCAAATTAATGAAACATCAACTAATAAATATTTATAAGAGAATTATGCCCGCAAGTGCGGGCAAAACACCTAGTTAACTAATATAAACGTGCGCTAAGAAACATGTCTGACAAAAACTATACTATATCAAGAATTGTTTAATATAAATATTCATTGAATAATGTTCTAGATAATAACGACAATGAAAACCATCTAATCTATTAAATTACAGTTCTAAATTTTATCTACTGCTTGAAGTTGTGTTTTACAATTTGGACACTTTCAAGTTTGTTAGTAGGCTGCTTAAATTATGAATCATTTTATCTACCATTTGAAGTTGTATTTTATTATAACAAAATCTGTTAAAAACAATCTAACAAAATCTTATTAATTTTTAAAATATTTTATACAATAATGCAATGACTAATTTCGTATTAATATAATATTATTATATTATTACGCACTAATACTAATTATTATTACGCACTAATACTAATTAAAATTTTATTATAAAACAGAAATAAAAAGTATATTATATTTTTATAAATTCCATAACTATAATCCATATTATATTAAAATAGGAATACTATAAAAATTAAATAAAAATTTATATAATATTGATAAATTAATTTAGTTTATCTCAATAATGCTTGCATTTAAATAAATAAACTATCATTCACCGTTTAAAATGATTAAAATTTATAAACTATGCATATTTTTATACAAAATATTAGCATATCTTAAAATTTTATATCTACAAGTCTACAACTATATATATATATACATATATATATATATATATATATATATATATAAATTTGATATCACAGCAATATATTATATAAAGTAATTATATACAAAATATAATAGTATATAACTAACTTTAAGTTCATGTGTTATTTACAAATATAATATCAATTTTTTTAAATAATTGAAAGATATTAATGAAAAATATATTTTAACTGCAAATTTAAGTTTTTAATTATAAGAAAATCTAAACAATTAATATTTTACCAAAAATTATACATATTTTTATTATAATACATTAATTTATTAAAAAAAAATCAAAGTCATATAATTCAAATTCAAAAATATTTATGTACTTTTCAAAACAATGCTTGACCAGATTATACAACTTTAAAAATAAGTATTCAAAATGAAAACATTTCAAATTTTATAAAAGATAAAATTATAGATGCTAAAGTGTAATCTTTCAAATGGAACATGAAAAAAGAAGTTATTGTAAAAAATATAATTTATATAATATTTTGAAATCTTAATTTAATAACAAAAATCAGAGAATTTAATACCATAACTTTTAAAATATTTTATATCGATATCTTAACTAAAATAATATCATAGAAGCTATTATATATATATTTACCAAAACAATATGGCTAAGTTAATTAAACAAAACAATATATTTATTTATGAAATCTCGCAAAACGATAGATCTTATAGTTGATTTTTTAAACACAAACTGGCTCACCAATCATATCATAATGTTCAATAAAAAGATCCTAAACAATAAGATTATAAAGTTACACTACTGTAACCCGGAAATATAAATCACATGTTTAAAAATAATATTAAATATATACTTTTATAGAATAAGAAATACATCTGCACAAACGTGCGGGTCAAATTCTAGTAGTATGTTACGTTAAGGACGATATCAAGATATACCACCAACTCTATAATTATACCACCTATAGATGATATATATATATATATATATATATATATATATATATATATAGATATCATTCAAGTTTCTTTTGTTACATCAGCCTCAAACTAAAAGTTATACACATATTTTATTTGAAAAGTAAATTTGTTGATTTGTTATGTTTTTCTTGATTTTAGATTTTGATAAGTAAATTTGCTAATTTGTCATGTTTTCCTTGATTTTTAATTTATTTTACATATTTTTCATATTTATCATAATATATTCACTAATAATACTTATCTATCATATTTTTAATTATTTAGTTGGTAATTTTATTTATCTGTTCTATTTTTAAATAATTTTAGTTGGATATTGTAAATCATTAGCTAATATAAACGTGTGATAAGATACATATTTGACCAAAAACATACTATATCAAAAATTGCTTAATATAAATATTCATCTAATAATGTTCTAGATAATAACTACAATGAAAACCATAGTACCTTACGTTAAGGACAATATTAACATATACCACCAACTCTATAACTATACAGACTGCAGACATATATATACATCTGATTATATAAAAATTAGTTTCTCTTATTCTATGCCTCCACGTCATTAATCCAAAGCTTCTGCAAATAACACATAAACTCTGTACTTTCTGGCACACATAAGGCTTCAAACATTTAATTTTTGAACCTTATGATATTCTAAACTAGTATTAACCCATCCCAAGGACAGGTTAGTATATAAAAGAATTACTTAATATATCATTAATTATAATAAATATTTTAAAATGTATATCTGACTTTAAGTTAAATTCATTTTAATTTTCATTATGTATATTTTATTATTTTTATTATATAAAGAAAAGTTTCTCTTATTCTATGCTTCCACGTCATTAATTCAAAGCTTCTGCAAATGACACATGTCTATCATTCAGAAACTTTGCGTTTCATTACTTTATGTCATCATATGAGGCTTCAAACATTTGTTTTTTGGACATTATGATATTCTAAACTAGGATTGGCCCGCTTTATGGCAGATTAGTATATGAAAGAATTATCTAATATATCATTAATTATAATGAATATTTTAAAATGTGTATCTGACTTTAAGTTAAATTGATTTTAATTTTCATTGTGTATATTTTATTATAGAATATGTTTATCTTAATATTGAAAAGAAGAGATTTCAATTTCATGACTATACATTTTTCTTTAATTCATTTATAAGTTATTTTCCAATGAAGATATCATACATACAACTACCGCGGTTCAAATATTTCAAATTACAATCTATATTATTATTTGTGAAGTATTTTTTTTGTTAAAAATTAGAGTGGTTAATTTAATTGTTACTCTTAATGAAATTAATATATATAAGTTATGATATAATTAATACAAAACTATATTAATAATATAAGATTTATATGTTAGCTTAAATAATTGACTGTAAACTAATATAATAAATTTGGAAAAGATAAACCAGTTTCAAAAGATAATTCTTATATATATATGTATATATTGTGTTGTAATCAAGAGATAATACTATAACTACATGATAATTCTTATATATATGTATATATATTATTGTGTTTTATATATAATTGATTTTTTTTTGTTTCTGAAAATAATATTATTTTATTAAATTTCAAAATATACGCTATAAAAGTTATAATTGAATATTATTCAGTAAAAACATTTATATAAAGATATTTCTTGGGGCTTGGTGTATACCCAAATTAGTTTTGGATTTGATTCCCCCTAGGAACGAAATTATCATTACTGGGTCAGTCTATGCTTGGGTTTCGGTCTAAGTGGTTTACATGGTGGATCATAACAGATATCGTTTCACTTTCTGACATTAGTCGGAAGGTATTCCAAACTTGAATTATGCAGTGTGATTGCTAGTCTACACTAAAAGCGTTCCTTCCGGAACCGACCGGATCAGCCGATATGATTTATCAAAAAAATAAAAAATATCGTGAGATGTAGAGCGAAAAGGAAAATCAATGCATTTTACTAGTGTCCAGTATTATTTCGTCTCTGCTGACGTTTAATAGTGGTTCACGCACATGGACTCATACGGTCTTACCAATTTCTTCATTTCAGTAGACATTCTGTCTTTTTTGTTTTTGCGTGTGAATTGAGTTTCTATGCGCAAAGAAGTTTCGATATCACAGCAATATATTATATAAAGTAATTATATACAATATATAATAGTATATAACTAACTTTAAGTTCATGCGTTATCTACAAAATATAATCTCAATTTTTTAAAATAATTCAAAGATATTAATGAAAAATCTATTTCAACTACAAATTTAAGTTTTTTAATTATAAGAAAATCTGTTGAGAAACAATTAAATATTTTACCAAAAATTCTAAATATTTTTATTAAATAATACATTAAGTTATAACAAAAAATCAAAGTCATATAATTCAAATTCAAAAATATTTATGTACTTTTCAAAACAATTCTTGACCAGATATACAAATTTAAAAATAAGTATTCAAAATGAAAACATTTCAAATTTTATAAAAGATAAAATTATATATGCTAAAGTGTAATCTTTCAAATGGAACATGAAAAAAGAATATTATTGTAAAAATCTAAAATAATATAATATTTTCAAATCTTAATTTAATAACAAAAATCAGAGAATTTAATACCATAACTTTCAAAATATCTTATATCGATATCTTAACTAAAATAATGTCATAGAAGCTATATATATACCAAAACAATATGGCTAAGTTAATTAAACAAAACAATATATTTATTTATGAAATGTCGCAAAATGATAGATCTTATAGTTGATTTTTTAAACACAAACGGGCTCACCAATCATATCATAATGTTCAATAAAGCAAATTCTAAACAATACGATTATAAAGTTACACTAATGTAACCCGGAAATACAAATCACATGTTTAACTATAATATTTAATATATACTTTTATAATATGAAAAATATATCTGTACAAACGTGCAGATGAAATTCTAGTAATACGTTATGTTAAGGACGATATCAAGATATACCAAAAACTCTATAATTATACCGACTGTAGATGATATATATGTATATCATTCAAGTTTCTTTTGTTACGTCACCCTCAAATCAAAAGTTACACACATATTTTATTTGAGAAGTAAATTTGTTGATTGTCATGTTTTTCTTGATTTTAGATTTTGATAAGTAAATTTTCTGATTTGTCATGTTTTCCTTGATTTTAGATTTTTCATGATTTTTAATTTATTTTACATATTTTCATATTTATCATAATATATTCACTTATAATAGTTATCTATCATGTTTTTAATTATTTAGTTGGTAACTTTATTTATCTGTTCTATTTTTAAATATTTTTAGTTGGATATTGTAAATCATTAGCTAATATAAACGTGTGATAAGAAACATATTTGACCAAAAACATACTATATCAAAAATTGCTTAATAATTAGTTAATCCTAATATGTTTGAGTGATTATTAAAAGAAAATATGTTATAATTATAAAATTATGATACTTTTGATTTGATCATGTAGTTAGCTAATAATCGTAGACGTATTGGTAAGTCTACTTTATAGTTTTTTAAACATGATCGCAAACTATGTAACCCTCATTTTTTTACAGGAAATGGCTTAGTTACCTGTTGTTGTGTATGAACTTATGTTTAATTTGTATGCTTATTTTGTATTGTTATGTAGTGTTAAACAAGTCTGATTTTCGTAATGAAGATCTTTTAAATGTGTACAAAAAAACAGTCTTCTTTATTAGTCTACAAGTAAGAAAGTAGACAAACACTAGAGTCTACTCTCTTTTATTGCTATTGGAGTTGTATTAATTTGTATTATTAGTCTCTTTTGTGTTCAAAATCTCTAAAATTGCTATAAAAAACTCTTTAGATTACATAATTTTAACACATTCAATATTGTGTGTGTTAGTTGTTGTTTTAGCTTATGGTGGTTTTTAATTGTTTGGCTGACTAGGGTATTTTCTGAAAAACTGATTGCTAACAAAAATTAATAATATCATACAAGCGCAACACAATTAAAAAATTAATACAATGTTTATTGATTATGTATCAGAATATTTATTTACAAATGAATATTTTGTAAAGATAAATTATTACAAAGCAATTTTTTAAAAACTCTAGAGTGTTTGCTTATTCATAATCTTGATATCTCAAATGAAATCTTGGAAAAGAGTACCTGCAAAATAAGATAAAACTATGAGAAAACATAAGGTAAACATATTCAAATTATATATTAGTAGATTTCATAAAAGTCTACTTAAATTTTATGGGTTCAATAGACTTTATTTAAAGTCTACTAGCCTTAATTTTTAAATAGACTTCATGCCAAAAATAATTTCAGATCTAAAAGTGTACAATTACAAAATTTGAAAATTGTATTTTCTGCAAAATAATTCAAAATAGTGTTTTAAACTAAAATTAGGAAAGCAAAAACATAGAACTTGTATCGATAAATTTAGTTTTATATACACAAAAATAAATTTTTAAATGAATATATGTAAATCTTACATTTTTGGGAAGGTGATTTGAAAACTTTGGAAGAAAATACATGCAAAATAAAATATAGTTATGAAAAAAAATATAAGACAAAAAAATCAAAATCATATTTGAGTAGATTTCTCATGAAGTCTGTTTGAAAGTTAAGGTTAATAAACTTCATTTGTAATCTACTCAATCCGAAGAATTTTAGATCTGAAAAATATATACATTACAAATACGAAAATAACTTTACATCTAAAAAATTTAGAAAATAGAATTTTTAAAATTAATTAGTAGTAAATTATAGACATATAGTTTAAATATGTAACTTTATTTAAATATAAATAGAAAAACACACATTGTAGATGTAAATCTTACAATTTTTGGTGGAAGAAAAAAAAACCATGGAATAAAATACCTGCATTATAAAGATGAAACTATGAAAAACATAAGACAAACAATTAAAGTCATAACCTTTTAGAATTCATTAGAAGTCTATTATATGAGATAATTTTCAGATCTGAAAAATTTATATATTTGAAAATGTGAATCTTTCATTTTTGGGAGAACTAGATAAAAACATGGAAGAAAGTGTTAGCAAAATAAAGATAAAATTATGAAAAAAATATTATACAAAACAAAAGTCACTTCTCGTTTTGTAGACTCCATTACAAGTCTACTATATCGGATAATTTTCAGATCTAAAAGATAGTTTTTAATCTGAAAAAAAAAACTTCAAAAATAGAATTTATAAGATAAAATAGTAGACAACAATGCAACACCAACGAAATTCAACTTTGTCTTAAGTTTAGAAAGTTAAACAATTGATTAAGTGAAACTATAAATTTGGAAAATAGAGAGATCGAAAATAAAACAATAGAGATAGTTTCACCAACATTAACACATAGTTTTATCGACATTTAAACAAAGTTGAATCCGACATTAAGCATTTACACGAGACCTTCAACCCCATATTTCTGAACATAAGGGTCGCTGTTTAGTAGAGACTGCATGAATTCCTCAACCTTGGGCAAACGCGGATTGAACCTGAAGTCCACAAATCCATCTTCGGTCTCAAACCATATTTCAGGAGGACCAAAATAACCTGTATAAGTGATTTTAGTAAAAGTTCTACTCAACTATCACATTTAAACTAGTCACAGAAACAACACTTACACATAAATTTCCAGACTCTCCACATCTTAAGGGCCACAATCACTTGTCTACGACCCCCACCACTCATGTAATCATGACCATCCCGGAAGGCATAGGCCTGATCGCCGGTCACCACACATTTTATCTGATGGTCACTATTCAGAATAAAGAAAAAGTGCGTCAGTTATAATATATATATATATATATATATATATATATATATATATATATATAAATTTTTGTTGGATCATATGTTACTTTATACTCATCTGTTGTCCCTTATGTAAAAATCCATTTTTGGTCCTAAAGGGGCATCGAGATGGGCTTCCGTGTTGAAGACCACTCCCATTGTATCTACCATATAAGTGTTACTCAACTAAATCAGTTTGTTTCACTTAGTTTCACTTACATCTACAGAGTTATACAAAGTTCTGAAACCAAGATATGCGACTGTTGAGATTACCAACATACCTATGGGATATCTGAGGTCACGCCAGTGCATGCGAGGGATTTCATAGATGCTTTTGAAGTCCAAGAAAAGACGACTGTTCAGAGGTTCGATGATGCGGACTTACGTACAGCGCGAAGCATTTAGTCTGAACGGAGAGCTAGTAGGCTGGAAACATGGGTAGGTCTGTTCAACTTCTACCACAAAGATTTCCACCCATCTTCCCTCTTCCTTCTCAAGGCCTCTAAAATTTGGATAATCCCCATCAGTGGTCATCTCCATCTTGTATCCCTACATAAATAAAGTACAAAGATCATGTTTATTACATATTACAAGGATCAAGTTTTTATTTCTCACAGTTACATGTTTATTACACACTTGAGAGATGATGATATAACACTTACATCTTCATATGTGAGGATATAGTTATAGTAAGGCCCATGGTTGGTAATCGCGTAAGGGTAGATCCTGTGTAGTTGCATTCTGAAACGCCAAGACCTGATCTCGGGGTTATAAGTAACCTCGGAAAGCTTATTGCACTCTGCCATCTTCTTTGTTGAGAGATGAGAGAAGAGATGGAGTATTCACAGAGATGAGAGAAGAGATGGAGTATTCACAGAGATGAGAGAAGAGATGAGAGAGGAAAGAGGAGATGGAGTAACGGTGAGTGTTTAAATGCAGAATTCTTATAAATGCAAGAGATGTGGCGTATAAATGATACTCGGAAGTGTAATGATTATTAAAAGAGACTTTTTCACAAGAGAAGTCGTGTTCTTTCGACGAGGCTTTTTCTCAAAATTAATATTATCCTTTTCATTTATTATCTCCTACACTGCTAATTGTTATCATTAAATATATGAACTCTAAATATATTCACTAACTATTATCCATTTTGGAAACTGACCATCTTTTGACAAATAAATCGATATAATATCAAAAATTTCGTTAAGTTTTGTATAGTTTCAAATTTTCATACAATCTAAATTGTTACGTTTTTCTTAGTTTCATAAATTTAGCCCGTGATCTCCTTGACTTTCACTTACTCTTACATATTTATATATCTTAAAATTCAGGAGAGGCGACTGTTGCAGTCAGAAAGCGTGTGAGATAAGTTGGAGTAGTTATGCTTTCTCGGGGAGAGAAATGGTTTAATCTCTGGGGAGTCTCGAGTCAATCAAGTAATAATACTCATCAAATCAACCTTAAATGGACATGCCACTGCTCAACTTCATTAAATTACAGGATTTATCTAAAATAATATTTAACATTTTCATTTATTATGTCCTATACTGCCAGGATTCGTCATTAAATATATCCACTAATAATACAAACCTCCCAAGGATGATGCACTCTAAGTTGGTAAAGGGGATAAACCTTGCTGCTATGAAACCGTAGAGCTTCAAAGACAAGGGATGTGGATTAAACGGCACACAAAGGTTGCGGAAATTCCTTTGATTCACCAGTGGATCGATTCTCTAGATATTACACACCAAAGAAATCGACAGCTTGCTGGATATGACACACCAACAAGGAATAGATAGAGAGATGGATTGAGAGACGCCACAAAGATCTGTGAAAGGATCTATGATAAGTCATGACCAGCCATGAACATAGATATGACACACCATGAACATGGAGTTCCAAAAATTACAAGACATCGCATCTTGAAAGAGAAACTTATCTAATTTTCACTTAAAACAAACTTGTATTTTATTCTAATTTTGGGCTCTTTTTATAGAGAACTACAAGTTATTTTCGTCCATCAAACTATCATAACATGCAGCACATCTTGGGAGTTGAAAATCAAACTCTATTCTGCATGCAAGAGAGAGAAACACACTTAAGTAAATGCTATTTTGAGACTGGACGAAAATCAATCTTCCTTTGATATTTTTGGGCTGAATCCACTTTGCTGGGCTTCTCTGATGGACCAAGATTGTAGAACAATTGGGCTTCTGGCTTAATTCAATCCGGGCTAGTCGAAATTGTTCATTGAAGGCAGATAAGTCCAAATTCGCGTAAACTGAAGATCACCTGTTTTGTAAATTGCATAACTCCTGCATCTGAACTCTTTTTGATCTGATTCTTCTTCGAGAAGCTCCATAATTGATTTGAGAACATTCTTCAAGTAAATTCATGCATATAAGCTTTGTGGTTTAGAAGTTATGAGTAAAACAATGAACGCATATCTTTACTGCTTCCCATGATCATATCATTCCATTCCTCTTAAAAAAAAAGATTTGTCCACAAATCTGGTTTATATAAAAAGAAGAGTATCAAAAAGCACTTTTTCTCTGACGAAAATAATTATAAAAACGAAAAAAAAAAGAAATAGAGAATGAAAGATGAGAAGATGATTGAAAGAAGATGAAGATGTGAGAAAATGGTAGAAATATAGAATGATAAAACTAGGATTAGAGTGTTGCTCTGATACCAAATAATACAAATCTCCCAAGGATGATGCACTCTAAGTTGGTAAAGGGATAAACCTTGCTGCTATGAAACCGTAGAGCTTCAAAGACAAGGGATGTGGATTGAACGGCACACAAAGGTTGCGGAAATTCCTTTGATTCACCAATGGATCAATTCTCTAGATATTACACACCAAAGAAATCAATAGCTTGCTGGATATGACACACCAACAAGGAATGGAAAGAGAGATGGATTGAGAGACGCCACAAAGATCTGTAAAAGGATCTATAATGAGTTTTGACCAGCCATGAACATAGATATGACACACCATGAACATGGAGTTCCAAAAATTACAAGACATCACATCTTGAAAGAGAGAAAATTCTCTAATTTTCACTTAAAACAAACTTGTCTTTTATTCATGATTTTGGGCTCTTTTTATAGATAATTACAAGTTATTTTCGTCCATCAAACTATCTTAACATGCAGCACATCTTGGGAGTTGAAAATCAAACTCTATTCTGCATGCAAGAGAGAGAAACACACTTAAGTAAATGCTATTTTGAGGCTGGACGAAAATCAATCTTCCTTTGATATTTTTGGGCTGAATCCACTTTGCTGGGCTTCTCTGATGGACCAAGATTGTAGAAAAATTGGGCTTCTGGCTTAATTCAATCCGGGCTAGTCGAAATTGTTCATTGAAGGCAGATAGGTCCAAATTCGCGTAAATTAAAGATCACCTGTTTTATAAATTGCATAACTCCTGCATCTGAACTCTGTTTGATCTGATTCTTCTTCGAGAAGCTCCGTAATTGAGTTGAGAACATTCTTCAAGTAAATTCATGCATAGAAGCTTTGTGGTTTAGAAGTTATGAGTAAAACAATGAACGCATATCTTTACTGCTTCCCATGATCATATCAACTAAGTATAATCAGTTTTGTACACTGATCATTTCTTGCAAAATATAACTAAAAATATATCTAAATTCTGAAGTTTTTTGTAGTTTCATAAATTTAGACAATCAAAATCACTTAGTTTCACTTACGTATGTATAGTTAGATATCTTAATAAATTATAGTTTTACAAAGTTTGAATTCCAAGAGATGCGACTGTTGATAGTCAAAAGGCGTGTGACAGAAGTCTCGAGGAGTCCATCAAATCACCTTTAAATAGACACGCTTCTGCTTGAATTTGGGTGAGCGGTCATTAAATTTCAAGGGTTTATCACTTCTACAATTACATGCAATTTTGAATCTCTACAATTTCCCTCATCTCTCTCACACAATAACATATTTCTTTATCAGAGTTAGACATGGAAAACTTGAAATTGGATTCTCTCCCTCCTTCAATGCTTCATAAGATTCTCTCTAAGGTAGCAACGATGAATCTCCGGGATTCTGGTTCTGCAAGGATTGCTTTTCGCGGGTTCAACGAAGTTGGAAGAGATGATTACTTCTACAGATCGGCCAATCTCATTTACCTGAATGATTGGGTAGACGAGGTCAGGGCTGTTCGAACATTCATGCTTAAATGCTACCGTTTGGGTAATCTAGAGGCCATATACTTGAGAGGTATGTATGAGTTCTTCATCCTCCATTTTCGTGATGAAGGAAGGGAAAAATTCCATCTTGCTGGTGAGAGATGATGCGAGATGGCCCAGTTTGTAGATGGAATGCTGAACTTAGCCTTTAGCGTTGATCGTAGGGGAATTGTTCACAACTACCCTACCTTTACTTGTCAACATCTTGATAAGATGTTTCAAACCATCTTTAGTTGGCAACTCTTATGCTATCAGGATTACGTAAGACCTGCCGTGTTTCTATCTGTCGCTGAAAAGATAGATCATAATGTGCCATTTGATTGCTGGTGCTCCCACATAGACCCTCCAGAGTTTGAAGTCTCCCAAAATGGATCAAGATTAAAGTGGAAATGCGATCCTTGTTTCTGGAATTGTCCAGCTTGGGACTTCTGCGACCAAATACAATTTAATGTTCAATCATGGCCAATTGAAGATTAGCTGTGTATTTATGACATTGAAGTTTTATCTACTTTTACTAAGTTATGTAAATTACTCATCACGTTATCCTCTGTTATTTCTCTAGTTTTATCTATAAACATTATGTAATTACTCTAGTTATATCTATAAACTAATCTTTTTTATTTGAACTTCAATAAATATATCAATAACAACACATGTGGCCGAACAATAACGTAATAATAAATTGCAATCTAAATGTGGAGTACTCCTAAATGTGCGATTTAGTTCAATTTAGCATAACTTTGTAACTGAGACATTTTTTATTTGTTCAGGTTTTATTACGCTACACAGTTACACCAAAGTTTACGATTACACTAAGTCTTACAAAGGTTTCGGAAGTTATGGAGAAATAGATCCGAATTTTATGGATCGGATCTGGATGGTCCGCGAAATGGCCCTGGTTGGGTTGTAATTATGTAAGTTTCTGTTGGGTCCGTGGTCTTTTAATAAATTTCTGAATTTAAATAAAAGATATATTAAATTCCAAATCTGGACAGTTTCGGGCAGGAGTATCTTAGATCATTTTTTCCGGGCAGTAGCATCTGAGCGTTTGATTCGTGATGATGTCATCTACCTCTCATTGTAATTCTACGATAGCATGATTGTGTAATCTACCATCTAACTACAGTTTACCATTGCAGAATGTATGTTTTGCAAAATCCTAATCAGAAAATTTTAAAAATTATCTTTAATATATGTTAGAGAGTATTTTCTAAAACCAATTATTGCCAAAAAAATTGTGTCTCCTAAGCAAAATTTTAGAAAACATGTTCTTAACTTCTTGAAAATTGAGTGCTTAACTTCTTCTTGTTCAAAAACACCAAAACTTTTGATCTTCGTTTGATAACTAAGATGCAACTATTCCTTAAAAAAATGTTCCAAAAAAACTATTCTTAAAAAACTAAAATTTAATTTCTTAAACACTGAACTCTAACTTGTTAAACACTATGTGAGTTAGGGTTTGAACCCTATGTGATTGAGGGTTTAAGGTTTGAACTCTGTGATATTTAGGGGTTCATACGATTTATTATAACAATGTATCAATAAAACAGTAACACTTAAGTCTTTGAGAGTATTGAGGAATCAAGACAGTTGAA